TCGGCTGTAGTTGTTGGTCATCACTGGCTTGCTGTTGTGGCTGCTATTTGTACATGTAGAGAACCAAGATTGTTCGTGATGCCACCTGACATATACATGAAAAAGGGCAAACCACAATAGCTGCTAACTTGACGTTGTGGCTGCATGTAGGGAACGATATGTATATGTCATATACCACTTGCCTTTGTGTACCTGCCTGCTTCATGCTTCCTGTACTTTCTAAGTTCAGTTTTACATACGAAATTAAGTGTCAAATGTACACACAAAAAAGTCTTGATAGCTGCTACAGATTTCAATGACTTCCAAGTCCCAGCTTTCAGTCATACAAACATTGCATATTTTCCATGATGTACTCACAATATTGTTTCATATTGGGGGGAATATATATAATATAAAAGTAGGAAGTACATTCATGTCAAATTCCATTCCTGGGTATCGGGCGTCGCTTCTTCGGCTAAGTCACTTCATCACATCAGAACCTCCTTTGAGTATCTTGTAACAAAGGTTAAACAAGCTGCTAGCTCGCATGTGCATAATTTGTCTCTCAATTTACTTGTGTACAAAAATCCCTTGGTACTGTAGCAGAACTCAAATAACAATAATAGTTTAAGTAATAACCATGGATTTGAAATATGTCTTTAAATGCCTTATATATACAGAATGGAGAGGGATTTCATCCATATTAAAATGCATCACGGGGGTTCTTTTTCAATGGAAGGTCCACTTACTTATGATGGAGGCGAAGTATCTATTTTTCGAAATTGTGACAGTGAGCGTACATTCTATTTTCGTCTAGTTCGCATGGCTAAAGATGTAGGTTTCAAGGATGGCGATGAGTTATATTATACAGTTCCTGGGTGTAGCCTTGATGAAGGAATTGATCTAGTTCACGATGATAATTCTATTCGTAAGATGTTGAACTTCGCAAAGAAACACAACTTTGCAGAAATCTATGTTAATCATAAAGGCCATGAAAGTGCTTCTGCTAATCCAAATCCAAGACCTCCTCCGGACAGTAACAAGAAACTTCCAGCGGAGGTACTTCACCAAAAAAAGTTATTTTTCTGCATGCATTATTTTTCTTGGGTGCTCATGTGTGACTTGCTGATTGCTTGTTGTTTGGTTGTGTGGTGTTTATCGCATCCTATCTTCTTTCTTATAGCTGATGCTTGTACATAACCATCCTGAATCATGAAAATATTCTAATTGTGCGACATTATCATCTAATTTTGTTCACAGACATGGCACGTCCACCAACAAACCGGGAAACCATAATCTTATGGCACGCAATGAGGCGACGAAGAGTGAAAATACTCATAATCTTATATCTGTTGTTGCAAATATTGATAATGTTACTTAGGAGGAGTCGATGTAGGATTCGTCAAATTAGGCAACCTTCTTGGTATGACCCAATTACTCGAGCACAAACCTTGAACAACAAGATACGAGTAAGCGACACAGAATGCATTTTCCAACTTTGGATGGATAGGCGTTGTTTTAGAGTATTATGTTCTTTGGTAAGAGAAATAGGCGGGTTAAAAGATACTAGGCACATGAGTGTCGAGGAATCGGTTGCCATGTTCCTTCACATACTTGCACATGATGTGAAAAATCGAGCAATCCATCATGATTTCCAGCGTTCGCCTGAATCAGTAAGTCGGAAATTTCATCAAGTTCTAGGCGCAGTTTTAAAACTCTGGAAAGTGTTACTTAAGAAGCCTCGGTCAATTCCGGCCAACTGCACGGATGGAAGGTGGAAGTGGTTTAAGGTACCAAAATGATATTTCAACATAGAAAAGAGTTGTAGGTCCAGTTTTGTTCACGGTCTAACACATTTTGTTCTTACTATAGAATTGTTTAGGCGCCTTAGATGGGGCGTATGTAGAAGTTCATGTGCCCCAAACTGACAAACCAAGATTCCGTTCACGAAAGAATGAAGTTGCAACAAATGTTCTTGGTGTATGTGCGCCGGACATGCAATTCATTTATGTGTTACCGGGTTGGGAAGGATCAGCAGCTGATGGGAGGGTGCTTCGAGATGCTTTGTCAAGATCAAATGGCCTTAAGGTTCCTCGTGGTAAGAGATAATATTAAAATGGTCCATCCTAGTTAAATGTATATATTGTATACATAGTTAACAAACCCATACACATGTTCCTATTGCATAGGGTGCTATTATCTAGTCGATGCTGGATACAAGAACTGTGAAGGATTTCTTGCTCCATACAGAGGACAGCGGTACCATCTCAATGATTGGAAAAATCCCCCAACAAAAAAAGAGGAATTGTTTAACATGCGGCATTCGTCAGCAAGAAATGTGATTGAGAGGATTTTCGGATTATTCAAGATGCGATGGGCTATCATTAGGAATCCCTCTTATTATCCTTTTGATACACAAGTTGACATAATTTTAGCATGCTGCTATATTCACAATCTGATACGACAACAAATGCGTGTTGATCCCTGCGAACAGTATCTAGATGAGTACATGCTACGCCTTCAACAACAACAAGTAAATGAGGATGTCATTCAGTCCACCGAAACATCATCAGAATGGACTGAGAAAAGAGATAAATTAGCTGATGAAATGTGGAAAGTTTGGACAGAGAAAAGACGTGATCGCTGATACACGCTACTAGATGTTAGGTGGAGGATCTTAATTGTTTATTCAGCAACCTATGAGTGTCCAAACATTCTTCATCAATATTTGTTTCGTCCCATATGTCGTAGTTGCTTATGTTTCTTTTTATTCACTTTTCTGTGATAGGAGATATTGATTAATGTATGAACATCATATCTCATTTATGACCATCTATATTCTTTATCATTTGTATATACATTTTTATTGTCCTATTAAAATCTAGCAGAATACCAAGCCAAAGGAGAGCAAATTGACATCCAAAAAGAGAGACAAGAGGACATGGACAGCGGAGGAGGAAAAGTTACTTATTGACATTCTATATGACATGAATGATTCATCTTGGAAAGTAGACACGGGTCACAAGTCCGGCTATCTTACATATATTGAGAAGAAAATGGCTGAAGTACTCCCACATGCTGATCTCAAAGCTGATCCACATATCAGGTCAAAAGTTAAGATTTTGAAGAAACAACTTCCCTATGTTCTGGAAATTATGCAAAATGGTAGTGGATTTGGATGGGATGATGAGAAGAAGATGGTAATCGGAGATAGAGAGACATATATGGGTTGGGCAAAGGTACACTATGTCAAATAAATAGACAAAGTAATCTGTTATGTTTCATTTTTTGTGCATTATAATTTGTTTTCTAATGGAAAGTCATGCTCTCTTTGTAGTCCCGTGAAGGAGCAGGTCCTCTGTACATGAAGCCTATGGTTAATTTTGACAAGCTATGTGAGGTTTATGCTAGCGATTTGGCTAAAGGAGGCAGTGCTAAAGGTCCCGGAGAAGAGGAAGTTGTAGAAGTTGAAGAAACAGCAGATGCAGAACCTACTAGCCAACCGGCCAAGGAGAATTCTCCTCAAGCACATGAGAACACCAACCCATCTGGTGGTTCTAGGCCTGGTCGTAAGAGAACATACCCTGATGATGATGCACTAGAATCAGGCCTTATAAGTGTGTCCAACACAATTGCAATGTTCTTGGAAGCAGAACAGGACAATGCAAAAACCATGAACGGTTTACAGAGGGCGTTTATGCATGAAGCTGAAGTTCATGAGCAAGCATCAGCCAACAGAACCAAGTTACTTGATATTCTGCAGAATCTTAAAGATCTCAGTAAAGAAGAAGTTGTTATGGCTGTTCGTGTTATTGGTGGTGACGCTGGAAAGACCGAGCTTTTCATAAAGTTGCGTGATGATTTCAAAGTACTATTTGTTCGCCAGGAGCTTGAGGCGGCCAAAAAATAAGCGAATACCCAGATTTGAACTTCCAGATTAGCAGCTCATATATTCTTTTCTGCTCAGGACTTGTAGTTGTTTTCTTTCAACTCATCACTTGCAACACTCAGTGCCTTCATTTATTTTTTTATATAATCTCGTCTTATACTCTTGGAAAGGATACTTTCATATGTTCATCTGCTAGTTAAAATACTTGCTTCATGTCTTTGCTCTCATTTGCTGGGATTGACTGTTGATGATTTGCTTGATGGACTATTCAATACATCCAGCAAGCATGACACCTATTATCTGGTATCTCCTTCCTGACCTGGTATCATCTGATATGTTGTATGTATGCAAGTCTATTGATCAAATGCAAAATTGTTGCTATCAACATTTTCTCTCTTTCTTAGGCGTGGAGCAAATAAAGTCAAAATATGAGTATTTTCTTATTGCAGACCTGATTAACGGTAACACTCATTTGCCCAGCTCATAGAATAATTCCCATTCCTATAACCACGAACCAAACAAAGGAAAATAACTCCCTGTTGATTTCCCACTAATAATTCCCACCACACACCAAGCATGGGATTGGGACTAATAGTCTACTTCCCAAGTCCATTCCCTTCATAAACTCCCCCTCCTAAACTCCCATTCCCAATCCCTCAAGCTTCCAAACACGCTTTTGAAGTTTGGTACTGAATTCGTCCTCGTTTCGGTGCCAATTTGTATTTTCTCATCGATTTTTTTTACTATCTTGTTCATCGATTTGTTCTTGGGTTCTGTCACTGCTCCCTGCACGGCCATCCGAATCCGTTCACCGCCTCTGTCACTGCTCCCTGCTTCTGCTGCATCAGGAACGCAACGCAATACAATGGCCGACGACCACATCAGATCACAGGTCATATCCCCGTATATAACCCCAGCCAGCGCAAGTAAACACAAGGAGGCAGCCACGGAGAATTATTGTTACAGTAATTCTATTGTTTCGTTTCAGGCAGAGGTACTTGGAAAATCCACAAAGTGTTACATACACAAGTTCAGATAATCTTATTACTTTGCAGGAATCAGTGAAGACGAAGGCTGTTCGTTGTTGACGTTGCCGGTGCTCTGCCGTGGCGCCTCCGCAGCAGCAGCACGGTCAGTGAGGTTCCATGTCCACGCCGGGGTCATGCGAGAGTATGATCATCTCGGCAGGCTCGCTCGAGGAGCCGTCGAAGAAGCCCGTCCTGGACTCCGAGTTTGTGCCAAGGAGGTCGTTGACGACCACATGAACAGAGGTGCTGTCAGTTGATGCCGCAATCTTGCTTCTGTCGTTGCCATCAGCGCGGACCGCAAATGAGTCCGTGGAGTCCGGCATTTCATGAGCAGCTGCCACATTTTTGGTTTGTTGACTTTGGCATCGCGTCTCCTCTGCTTTGCTCAACTCAACATCATGAGCAGGTGAAGAGCTTCGACGTCTGTCTGGCGAAGTGGTGTTGCTGGTAGCACCTTCATCATCATCTTCAGAGCCTGTCAGTGGGTTTGCAGCTTCACCATCTTTGCCCTGACGGATTCCAAGGATCATGAGGCTACTTGTGTCCTGATGATCAGTGGCCACCATTTCCAAAGTTCCATCCTCATCATGGTTGGACGATGATTCCATGGTATCAGGGTTTTCGACGATCAACATTTTATCTGCATTGACCCCTCCAGGGAAGCTCCTAGCACTTTGGTTTTGCTTCTCTTGGACGGTTGTTTCAGTGTCCACATGGCCGATACCCACCTCTCTGCCAGTTTCAACAATGGTCTGCATGCCACCGAAACTGAGCCTGCGAAACAGGTTTGCATTTCCAGAATCCCCGAGAATCGATGATTTATCACCTGTGACATCTTCGCAGCAGCCATGGATCCTTTGCTGTTCATCTTGCGGTTGCACTTCAGTTTCGAGATAAGCTCCAGGCATCACAGTACATGTGTCATTAGATATCAAACAGATGCTATTGAGTTTACAGTTCTCATCTGATACTTTCAGCATGTTCTCGGTATTGCCAGCAACATCTTCACAGCAGCCTTGGATCCTTTGCTGTTCATCTTGCAGCTGCACTTTGGTTTCAAGATAAGCTCCAGCCAGCTGAGTACATCTGTCATTAGATGACAAACTGACGCTCTTGAATTTACAGTTCTCATCTGATACTGTCAGCATGTCCATAGGTTTGGTGTCGTTTGGAACCAATGCAGTTTCACTTTCATACTCCTCTCCATGGTAAGATGCACTTGCTAACCGCGTCTTCTTCCTTGCTGCTTCTTGAACATCGGCAGTATAATCCGCTCCTCCTTCAACATTTGGATCCTTAGCACGCCGCTTAAAGTCCAAGAAAGGGGTACTGATTTGTTCTTTAACAGTGACTTTGCAGCTCTCATGTACTTCAGCAAAGAGGGGTTTATTTGATTCTCTGTCACAAGAGATGTCGAAGAAACTTGTCCTGGACTCCGAGTTTGTTCCAAGTTCGTTGATGACCAGATGAACAGAGGTGCTGTTAGTTGACATACCAATCTTGCTTCCGTAACCCTCGGCGCAGACCACAAATGAGTCCGTCGAGTCTGACATTTCATGGGCAGCTGCTATATGTTTGGCTTGGTAACTTTGGTATCGCATCTCCTCTGCTTTGCTCAACTCAACATCACCAGGAGGTGAACTGCTTCGACGTCTGTTCGGGGACAGGGCGTTGGAAGTAGTATTTTCATCATCTTCAGAGCCTGTCAATGGGTCCGTAGCTTCACCATCTTTGCCCTGAGGGAGGGTGCCGGTGTCCTGATGATCAGTAGCCACCATTTCCAAAGTTCCATCCTCATCATGGCTGGGCAAGGATTCCATGGTTTCAGGATTTTCGAGGATCAACGTTGTATCTGCATCAACCACTCCATAGCAGCTCCTAGAACTTTGGTTTTGTTTCTCTCGGAGGGATGTTTCAGTGTCCACATGGCCAAAACCCACCTCACTGCCAGTTTCAACAATGGTCTCCATGTCACCGAAATTGAGCCTGCGAAACAGGTGTGCATCTCCAGAATCTCCAAGAACCGATGATTTATCACCTGTGACATCTTCACAGCTGCCTTGGATCCTTTGCTGTTCATCTTGCAGTTGCACTTCGGTTTCGAGATAAGCTCCAGCCATTTGAGTACAGGTGTCATGAGATGACAAACTGATGCTATTGAGTTTACAGTTCTCATCTGATACTGTCAGCATGTTCTCAGTGTCACCAGGAACATCTTCACGGTAGCTTTGGATCATTTGCTGTTCATCTTGCAGCTGCACTTTGGTTTCAAGATAAGCTCTGGCCATCTGAGTACATGTGTCATTAGATGACAAACTGATGCTCTTGTGTTTACAGTTCTCATCTGATACTGTCAGAATGTTCTCTGTATCACCGGTAACATCTTCACTGCAGCTTTGGATCCTTTTCTGTTCATCGTGCAGTTGCACTTCGGTTTCAAGATAAGCTCCAGCCATCTGAGCACTGGTGTCATTAGATGACAGACTGATGCTCTTGAGTTTACAGTTCTCATCAGATACTGTCAGCATGTCCATAGGTTTGGTGTCTTTTGGAACCAATGAAGTTTCACTTTCATACTCCTCTCCATGGTAAGATGCACTTACTAACCGCATCTTCTTCGTTGCTGCTTCCTGAACATCGGCAGTAGGATCTCCTCCTTCAACATTTGGATCCTTGGCACACCGTGTAAAGTCCAAGAAAGGGGTCCTGGTTTCTTCTTCAACACTGACTTTGCAGATCTCATGTACTTCAGCAAACAGCGGGTGTTTATTTGATTCTTTGTCACAGGAGCTGTCGAAGAAACTTGTCCTGGACTCTGAGTTTGTTCCAAGTTCGTTGATGATCAGATGAACAGAGGTGCTGTCAGTTGACATCCCAATCTGGCTTCCGTAACCCTCGGCGCAGATCGCAAATGAGTCCGTGGAGTCTGAGATTTCATGGGCTGCTCCATGTTTTGTTCGGTAACTTTGGTGTCGCATCTCCTCTTCTTTGCTCAACTCAAGATCACGAGGAGGTGAAGTGCTTCGACATCTGTTCGGCGACAAGTTGATGGTACTATCTTTATCATCTTCAGAGCCTGTCAGTTGGTTTGTAGCTTCACCATCTTTGCACTGAGGGAGGGTACTGGTGTCCTGGTGATCAGTTGCCACCATTTCAAAAGTTCCATCCTGATCATGGTTGGGCAAGGATTCCATGGTTTCAGGATTTTCGATGATCAACCTTGTATCTGTATCAACCACTCCAGAGCAGCTCCTAGCACTTTGCTTTTGTTTCTCTTGGAGAGATGTTTCAGTGTCCACATCGCCAAAACCCACCTCACTGCCAGTTTCAACAATGGTCTGCATGTCACCAAAACTGAGCTTGCGAAACAGCTGTGCATTTCCAGAATCTCCGAGCAATGATTTTTCACCTATGACATCTTCACAGCAGCCTTCGATCCTTTGCTGTTCATCTTGCAGTTGCATTTCGGTTTCGCGATAACCTCCAGCCATCTGAGTACAGGTATCATTAGATGACAAACTGATGCTATTGAGTTTACAGTTCTCATCTGATACTATCGGCATGTTCTCAGTATCACCTGTAACATCTTCACGGCAGCCTTGGATCCTTTGCTGTTCATCTTTCAGTTGCACTTCGGTTTCGAGATAAGCTCCAGCCATCTGAGTACATGTGTCATTAGATAACAAACTGATGCTATTGAGTTTGCAGTTCTCATCTGATACTGTCAGCATGTCCATAGGTCTGGTGTCTTTTGAAACCAATGCAGTTTCACTTTCATCCTCCTCTCCATGGTAAGATGCACTTGCTAACCGTGTCTTCTTCGTTGCTGCTTCCTCAACATCGGCCAAATAATCTGGATCTCCTCCTTCAATATTTGGATCCTTAGCATGCCGCTTAAAATCCAAGACAGGGGTCCTGGTTTTTTCTTCAACAGTGACTTTGCGGCTCTCATGTACTTCAGCAAACATTGGTGGTTTATTTGACACTCTGTTAGAGGACCCGATCAAATTTTTACTACCTTCAGGAACAAACAGCCTTTTGCATGCACCATATCGATCAGGTTCTTTAGTAGATACATCCCACAGGACTCTCTGAATGTTGCTTGGTTTTCCACCAGAGAACTTGTTGGATCTTCTGTCATCGTCCCAGACAAATGAATAGTCCAATGCTGGACCTTTTATCATCTTATGAGCTGAAGGCATACCCAACGTTGCACGATTATCACATGGAAAGGACTTGCTCTGCTGTGCCCTCCGCCGTTTTCTCCTCTGATTAGGGGAACTGAAAGACTTAGCATTCTTTGATGGGAATGGTTTGGTCTTGAACTTCTGTCTTTGAACAAAAGATTCAGGTCTTCCCAATAACCGAGCAAACACGCTTTTTCGCCCTTCAATGTCAGCGCGAAGCTTTGAATCTGCCGGGGGTTGATGGCAATCATCTTTCTTCCTGACACATGGTTGGTGGAAAGCTGTGTTCTCTTCAGAGTCACTACTGCCTTTAGATTCTGAAGAGTGGCTCTCATCTCCAAGCAAATCAAATAGAGTATCAACACCATCTGAAGTATCATCCTCCAGCTGTAGTGGTATATAATCATCAGTAAACTTGTCATCCACTGCTTCTTGGGTGCCAGGTTCAGTGACAACGTCTGTATTTGCTGCAGTGTGCAAGGAAGATCTTGAGCTGTTGGACTTAGCCACATCAGAGATGTCTAGTTGTAACTCTCTATGCTTTAATGACATAGGCTCAGATAACTTGTGACTCGGCGATGCTGCATGTTCCCCAACATTGGAGGAGGTACATGTTTGACAGGGGCTTTTCAATGAACCGTGTGAAGTGCTATTTGAACCAGACTGGTTATCAGTTTGGTTAACCACAGAAGAAATATCAGACTCCCTTGGAGGTTCATACTGTAACCTTGGATTTTGACGAGGCTGTAATCTGTTCCTTGAAGAAAACAAGTGAAGAAGCTTTACAACCTGTATCAAAGAAACACCCTGGGATCAGTAGCTAACGTAAATTAACATAACACCAGAAGACTGTGAAACAGGCTTGTTGATGTGTCAAACCATAATTAAACTTGTTTCTTGCGAAGTAATAATTATCCTGTACAGCATCTTCAAATTCACTTTCCATCAAAGGCTTGCAAAACCAAATCCTCTTAAAGCGTATCTGTATTTAGTGAACACAGCAGGAAAAGTATTAGTCTGTCTCCCATAATATGCCAGGAAGGGCAAATTCCAAAGCATCACAGAAAATTGCTGACAGTTTCCCTTTACCATCTGAAAGGTGCAAATTAGTGTGAAATATGGAATAAGTGGAGGATAGATGCTCCAGGTGGGTTATCAAAGACATGTCACTGAGAAATTTCATAGAAACCCTGGAATATATAACTATGCTTGGTATGTCTAAAACATATTCATACCTGACAAGGATACTGAAACCCTGATGAGGCATATGCACCAGGAATGATATTCATGGCTCCATCTGAAGTTGCTTCAAACACCCCATGAAGCTTACGTTGCTCAACATCATACAGGAATAGTGTCGCGCCAGATTTCACTTTATGTATAAACTCAATACATTTAGACGAAAGGCCAAAAAGCTTTCTGTGGAAGCACTCCTTCCTGGTCAGGTGGTTGCACAGAAAAATTGCTCCATCATAGGCTGGAACATTCTTACTCTGTACCTTCCCCATCCAAAAATTCATTGGTTTTCTTTGATACCATGAAACAATCAGAACGAAAAAGGGTCAGGATATTAAAAATTAACTCAAATTAAAAGAGAAGAATCTAGAACATGCTTTCTAAGAACATGCAGTTATATACTTCCTCCGTCCGGAATTAGTTGACACTCAGACGAATGTATCTAGCACTGAAATACGTATAGATAAATCCGTTTGAGCGTCAGCTAATTCCTAACGGAGGGAGTATATTGTATAAAACTGTAAGATAAGGCAACAATACGATGGTATGAAGCCAATCATCAATCATGACCAGAAGCTCATTTTTTTTCCTTTAGGAAATCTGCAGCGGAGTTCCTACCTACAAACAAACACGCTGAACTGAAGACAAACAAACAACTGCCAAAAGAGGATTGGCATGAAACACAAACACGGACATCTTAATGGCAGCACAAATATGGCGTAACACTTTTCAGTTTGACTAACCAGCAAATGGGGCCCCATATGCAATCCATTCCCATTCCCCACCTTGTGGGTCTACACTGCCTGATTTTGCAATGAAGCATGGCTTTCGACTGAACCATTTACATGTATTCTTTGCAACTGGAACAAGAGATGCAGAGGTTCTCCCCTGACATAGTGTTCCAGTAAGGGTTAAAAACTTGCAGATTTAACATTCAATAACGCCTGCCTGAAAACCATCAAGATCCCCATCCCTACTACTTACTCCAACAAGTGTGATGCTAACAAGAGCAGCTCCAACTAGCAGGATTTGTGCACAGGAAATCTTGCTACGATATATGCGCACATCTGACGAACAGAACCATCCATGGGCGCCCGCTAGAGAAGGGGCACCCCACAACCGTCGGCCTGGTCGCCGTTGTGAAACCATCGCAAGAGCAAGAAGCCGCCGATTGCTACGCCGCGCAGGCAAGATGCCGTGCCAAGACACGGCGGTCTTGGACGGACGGGCGGGCGGGCGGGCGGATCCCCTGCTCTTCGGTTCTTGGGAGGGTTTTAGCGCTAAAAAACAAACAGAAACCCCAATTTTCCTACCCTGCCAGGAACGATTTCTAGAGAGATTCCCCCCTCCTACAAGGACGATGCTGGCATGCCGCGACGAACACAGGGCGAGATCACGGGGCCGGAACAGGAAAATCATGGCGAGAACAGGGACGGCCTAAGCATGGATTGCGGGGCAAAGCAAGAAGTGAAAAAAAAAGGAGTAACAGGGGAAGAAACAGAGCAAGAAGCAAGGTACCGGAGGCCAATGCAGGAGGAGGGCGGCGGCGCGGCGGACTGGATCGGGCTCGGGCCAGGCGGCGAGCTCGTCGGTGGGATTGGGGGAGGAGGAGGAGGGGTGAATGCCTGGCTTCCCGGTGGGGGTTTTCCTCTCCCTCCCTCGCTCGCCTTTACTTTTGGCTTTCTCGCTTGGCAGGGGAAGGCTGGATGGGTTGGTGAGGCGATCAGAGGGTGGCAGAACCCCCCATCCCCTTCTCTCTCTAGCCCTCTCTCGTCTTCATTGCGAGCTTTGCCTTTCTCCTTTTCTGTTAGTTTCTTTCCGTTGCAGTCTGAAGTCTGATCGTGTGCCCCTCCCGTTCTGGTGCAGCGACGCGGCGCTCGTTTTGGCTCGCCACCGGCACGAAGCTTCCGCGGCGATCCTGTTTGCTCGCCCGTGGTGCTGCCGTCCCGAATGGTAATCACGTACGTACACGATACCGCCGTGCTCCCCTAACTGGCTAACTTGTTGCTGGATCGGTAATGGGAATGTGATGGATCGTCTCATTTGGTTGATGCTGCTGCGGCCGGTCACGTGACATCGTGTTGGACGCACTGAGTGAGACCCTTGGGACCGTCCATTTCATGTGCGACTTTGTACTCCCTTTTATATGTGCGATAACTCAAAACGGCGCCCAGCCTCAACAGTAAATTCAGAAAAGTACATCAGAAGATTAAAAAAAATATTCTGAATTTCTTTGGCAGCTAATAAGATGCTCATGCAAGCAGAATTTCAGATTGTTCGGACATCTGAAGAGGTCGTATATGAAAACAAAATTGGCTCCTGATACTGTTTTTTTGTTGTTGTCAAAGTTCATCTATTTTTCTTTGTCGAGGAGAAATATAGAACTGCCGAATTAAGATGCTTCGAAATCCAACAAGGTTTTACTCTCACCTTTTGAATGTTTGAATAGCGGTGCTGCTAACTAGCTACTCCCTTTCTTTCTGTTTATAGGAATCAATTTAAAAATCTCGCCAACCATGACAGATGGTGAATGGTGCAATAATTTTTGTACTAGTCTGCAAACGTACTCTCTCAGTGCTATTTCAAAAGTACCATGTCCTCCTGTTTTGTTCAATAAATAAAAGCGACCCTTTGTGAATCAGATGGCCAAGCGACACTGATTCTGCAATCGTAATCGACTATGTTTCTGTTAACGAAGAAGCATGTGATTGTGTCTGAAAATACCCTTTTTTGTAGATTCGAACAACCCAATCCACCTAAAATGATCTACACAAACATGCATGCATTACGCTGCACTACCCACAATGCCGAAAAATACATTTGAACCTGTGCTTGAGCGCCCGGGCAGTCTCCTCATAATGTGCGTATCATTTTTGTTGGCAAACACTTATAATAGGATTACTCACGTCTCGTCGACCATCTCGTTTAGGCGTATCTCATGGGTCCCCACTCATTGCACCCCCTTTTTCATCAACTCTCCTACTAGTGCCATGGATGGGGTCGGGAGGTGGAGCTCAAGTGGAGACCCACAATGCCTCATCCCTTGATGTGTCCTCTTCCCAAGCGCCTCTCCTCCTCCTCCGGCCCACATAGAGTTCATTCAATGGACCAACTTAGAGATGAATTTCTAGTTGGAGACCCTCGGAGTCAGGTGCATGAGCTCGAATCCATGCCAGCCAAGAGCTTCGTTGCTGAGGCTGGTGGCGCTGCAGCAAGGTTGTTGTCGGCTATGTCGTTAGGCCAGGTGGTGGTGGTGCAAGGTAGTCATCAGCATGGGTGGCAGTTCTGGCCTGCAAGACCATGTCTATATGTGACCTCAACATGATCCATGTTCCAATGGGTGGGAGCGACATTTTCCATGTTGTAATGGGTGACCAAAGGCCCACACCATGCAAGTTGGAGGTGACTGCAACATGGTCCATGTTGCAATGGATGACTGTAACATGATGCATGTTGCAATGGGTGACCCCAAGACCCACGTCATGCAAGCTAGAGGTGATGGCGACATGGTCTATATTGCAATGGGTGATCGTAGTATGATCAATATTGCAATAGTGAACAAAGGCCCATGCGTTGCCTGGTGACCTTGCGAGCGCAACAAGGCTTGTGTTGCAAAGTCTCGGAGCACAACATGGCCCTTGTTGCAAAGGTTGAGGCTAACGCGATGGGAGAGGGCTGTCTTGGGCACCATCCAATGGCTGCTGAGGCAGCTGATCCAATCGATTCATCACTCAGCCGATGTGTAGCGTCCGTTTTTTGGTTTCTAGTACGACCCAAATTATAACTGTTTTTGTTGTAGATGCCTTTGGATTTGATTGGTATTCAACATTGGTAAGAATTGATGAGGGTCAGTTACTTTCAGAGAAGGAAAAAAAATGATTCAACGGGCATCGGTTTATGGTTGATGGAATTAATGTGGCATGGTAAAATCTTTTAGCTTGATGTGAAAAGTTCAGTGTAGAAAAGTTCATAGTGAAGAAAATATAATCCTACCTTACTATTCATTCAAATAGTGGTTTTGAATATAGCTTTCATTTCACCATTTTTCCCCAAAATACAATGGATATCATTTATTCGTTAAACCTCATATGTGAGTATACCGATCGACCATTTATGTTACAGAAAAAATCAGGTTTTTTTTAAAAACATCCTACTATTTAAAAAAAATACTATTCATAAGGGGTTCCCGTGGAACCATGTTCCATAAATCCGTGTTGATGCAAGTAGCCACTATGAAATATGCAAAGGTTTTATTATGGACTGGGGAATTTAAAATGATTTCAACCAAGTTGAATTATCACTATTCGACTTTAAACTCCAAACTATGTATTTTAATCATGATTTACGCAGACTATATTAATGTAATCACGTCACTATTGTAAAACATCATCAAAATTTCCAACAATACAGTGCGTTCAAATCAATTGGATGACCCATGTTACAATTGATATTACAAAACGACGTAATGTCTCACCATTTAAGAAACACAATTTCACCACAGTAACATTGACTATGATGATGTACCTTTTATTAAGTTTTTTCAAATACGTGCACAGAAATATAGAATATGCTTAAGAAGCAAAATCATGGATAATAGTAGATAAAAGTTTAGTTGCAACTTGTGACATCGGGGTGAAAGACATGTAGGCACTAGACCGAATTGAAGTCCATTTCCATATAATGATCGATGAAGAAGATTTTACGGGTGTCCATCACTGTTTCCGCCTCCTCCACCTTCGCCACCACCACTTCCACCATTTTGACCATTGCCTCTCCCTCCACCGTTGCCAGAAGCATTAGCATTGGCATAAGCACCACCGGGCCAGTACCCATTGTTTGACTCACTAGCACCAGAGCCAGTGCCGCCACCATTCCCATAACCACTAGATCCATCGTAGCCTCTACCTTGTCCTCCGCCTCGACCGCCACCATGACCACTAGCACTAGAAGATCCACCGAAAGGGTCTGGACCAATCTGGGTCGAGCCTGAGCCCAAGGCAGATCCAGATCCACGTCCAGACCCACCATTTTTTCCACCACCACCGCCTCCTCCTCCTCCACCACCACTTCCATGGACGAACCCCCCATTTTCATCATTTCCTGCAGACCCAACAGCAGCCCCAGACCCTGATCCAGCACCATTGACGGACCCACCACCCTCTCCTCCTCCCGTGCCGGTTCCTTCGGAACTAGAGTATCTAGCTACCCTTGCAGCATTGGCTAACCCAGTGCCGAACAGGACAATCAAACTAAGAGCTAAGCATTTAGTGACTGCCATATCACGAGCTTTGCTAGAGTGCAAGATGAGATGTCTGCTAAACTCAAAGAATAGCATGGGTATTTATAGGACCAGAAGCCATGACTGGCTCTTTGTGTCAATGCTTCGTTGCATGGTACGCGGCAAGAACTCCCGTAAGAGATCAAGTAATATGCAAGTGGAGGCTTATACACAACTGGTGGATGGATCGGAGCTCTTTGCGTGCATTAGTGGATAAACATGTTGTTTATCTGATTAGTCTTCGTACACAAGTTTGCCTGTCACGAAGCTCGAGAGCACAGTACCACACACAGTTGATACGATTGAATGGATCTGTGAGTGAGATCGTCAAAAGAAAGATTGATCTCAAAACGAAATGTAGAGCTAGCGCTCCTACCAACCTCTTGTACTGTAAGGACCTCTAGCAGTCTGCTCCTCGGTCAGGAAAAGGTCTTACAACAAACACACATATTTTCAGTATTTAAAGTGGTTTTTAATTGCGAGCATAAGTTATAGCTAGATTTCTTCTTATATACTCCCTTTGTAAACAAATATAAGAGTGTTTAGATCACTACTTTAGTGATCTGAATGCTCTTATATTTCTTTACGGAGGGAGTAACAAATAAAATAAACTTAGATTTAACCATACTTTTTTTTAGAAAAGGAGGATGACCCCCGGCCTCTGCATCTGGGAGATGCATACGGTCACTTTATTGATTATTCTCGAGAACCTTACAAAGTGTTACAACAATAAGCCTGAATCCACCATCTAGGCAACATATGTCGCTACTCCTATCCATATGATGAAGGGGTGCTAGCTAGACCACTACCCAGACCACTCACCTAATCCTAACATCAAAAGCCGGAATCCCCAGCCTAGCCACATACCGGGTCTGGGGTATAAACCGGTCTGACGCACTCAAATGTGTCGTCTCCACCATCTTCCACTGGTCCATCTCCAAGCAGATTGAGGTGCCAACCTTGGCAGGCTCCTCCGCCATCAACGCCACCATGACGCCAAATGACGACCACCACCTACGCTAGAACATCGCCAAACAAATGGAGCGCTACCACAAGATGAAGATCAGCGGTAGAATAGATAAAACGCCGCACACATTGCCGCCGCCAAACACCTCACACACACCACAAAGCACCCACCGTGCTTCCGGGAACCCCAGACGACGCCTTCAAGAAGGAACGCCATGAAGGTACGACGCCGTCGCCGCAAGGGGAACTAGAGCTTTCGCCCAAATGAAGAGCACAATAAGAAACGGGATAGGACCTCGACAAGGCCTCCAAAAAGGAAACCGACGCCCACAAGGCGCCACCATTGTCGTGGCCTCCGCTGACGGCCAAGAGTTTCCCCCGATCCCGCCCCCGTCCCATCCACCCGGCCAAAGACCTGGCCAGGGGAGCGCACGCAGCCGGAGAAGGCGTTGGACTTCATCGAAGCAGGCACGCCGGGTGACGGGGCACCCCGACCCACCGTAGTAGACGTCCACCGAGACCTCACCACACGCACAGCCGAAGTCGCGGACCACCAGCTCCCACGGCCGTCGCCCGTCGAGAGGCCACGCCGTTCACACCGCCTGAGGCCGCCGCCCCGGCATCCACCCACCGCGCACATCCCGTCAAAACACGGAGAACGACCCACACCGCCGCCACCAGGGGGACCACACCGCGAGCACCCAAGCCGGGCGACAAGGCAGGGCCGCGCCGGCCAGATCCGGGCGGATCTGGCGATCCCCGGCCCACCAGCCGCCAGAGAGGAGCCGACCCCGATCCAGGGCCGAGCTGGCCTGATCTGGCAGTCGGACCTTCCCAGGAGACCCTCACACCGGATCGGGAGGAGGGCTAGCGACAGCTCCACGACCG